AATGAACAATGTGATTCTATCAAACCAATTAACTCAAATAGCTAGACACAATTCGGTTGTTTGGGATGAGTCAACGTGGGTACGACGGTAATAAGGTAGGCGCCGAACGAGTGGAACAAATGTACAGTGTGTAGACAACTTCGATCTCACTAGCAAGCATTTGTGCATTATGCAGGTGGTTTCCAACTATTCACGCTAGTCAGTAGTATGTACCACCAAGCTAAAAACGTCCCTGCTCGTTTTCTTGTTTATGTAAAATTGCTTCAGTAAACACACTTCCCAAAAATACTGAAATAAAGAAATAGAAGATAAGGTACAGGACTGATTTTTACCACACAAAAGTACTTATAATAGGTTACTAAGGGGATTTTCCATATGTTTTGATATGCCATGTGCGTTGGTGGCTCAGCAGTAGATTGCGCGCCAACCATGCATGTGGTCCGGGGTTCGATACTCGGCCGGCGCACTCCTTTACCTCTCTAAGCCGGTAATAAAATCGGCAAAGAGTAAAGGTTGGGCATGAGGTTAGCAACGCCATCCCGCAAAAATAAACACCATTGCTACTATAACTTCAAGGCTTGAAGCCCTATGTTCCACTGGGAACGTAAACTAATAAAATAATAAATAAATAAAAAGATTTGATAAATCATGTGCGTTACCAAAACGATCAGTTAGAATACTGAGATATCTTTTATTTATGGCTATGTATAATCACACACAATTTTACTGATCTTCACTATTCATATCCTCTGGCGATACGCCCAATGCTTCCTCTAGTTCCAATATTGCCTGTTCACTTTCATAATTCTTGCCAACCAAGCTAACCCAAGTCTCTTCTAATTCTTTGAGGTGTTTACCAGCAGCCGTTTGCTCCTGTTTTCGACGCCAATTTATCTCCTGAATTTTTCGCCTTTTTATTAAAAAAGAACATAAAGGACAATATGACTCAGATTAATAAAAGAAAATTAAAGACAAAACCATATTTAGTAGACTTATCACTTGGCAAGTCCTTCACGAACTAATACAAAGACAAACTTTGGTTGAGAGAAACTTTGAAAAGTTACCATTCACTGAAATGTATCCCCTACTGGAAATGCATGCTTTGTATCAACCACCAATTAATTTATGACTGAGAAAGACATTCTACAATAGGTTCATGACTGTAGATTAAAGCATACATAGGTATGTGAAAACATTCTGAAAAAAATGATGAAATTTTCAGAGGCACAGTAATTCATCTGTAAAGTTTTATAAATTACAACAGCGGTGCAGGCTACAAAGCGATGAGTGAGTAAATATAGCCTTCATAACACGTCCTTAATGCTAAGAAAGGCTGAACACATTGCAGCATTACGCAAATGACTTTTTACATTAGACTACTAGTTGCACCAGTATCCAATCAAATGTGTCTGAAATCCTGGATATCCTGATTAAAAAATTACCTAATTAGAACTTCAGAATGGTAAATCAAAGTACTTCGCAAATGAAAACGTAAAACAAATCGGTGAATCGGTGTCTAAATTAATTATATGAAATGTTGTAAAAAGTAGCAGCTATTTGTTGACGTAATCTTGATTCACAAAAGTCTACTACAAAGAGAGAGAAGCTAATCAATCACCAGCAGTAGAATGCTGTCTGGTGAGAGCATGAAAAGAAACATGCAGAAATAGAATATCACATCAAACAAAAATGAATACAAGGAAAAGAACAATTTAGTTTAGACAGGCAACTTTCTTCACTGATTTACCTAATGCACTAAGAGCAACACGTGTGTTGCTGTGGTTACTTTGCAAACTATATGCAATGCTGTGAAACAAACAGCTATCAGTTATTCTAAGCATTTAGAGATTTGTCTGCTGTACCTGTGTTAAATAGTCTCATTAGGTTTTCTTTTCCTCTCCTCGTTACACTACACTGTTGTTCTCATCTACTACCACACATCAACTTTATATTTCAAATCCTGTGTTGCATTGTTTGAAATGAAATACTCTACGCTGTTTTTTTCTTAATTTTTAATATTTATTTATTTATCTTTGATTTTTAAAAATTTTATATAATTTATGAGGTAATTAGATGCAATATACTGTAATGCACGCTGAAAATTCCATACCTGTACCACAAACACTGTTTGGAATAAAGCTGTTATTATTATTATTATAAAGTCGTATAATAGGACAATAAAACTATGGCACAACTGACTCAATCCCTAGTCAGACAGCATTAGGTAATGATAGGCAAATCAGAATGTAACTGGTCACTCGGTACACATTGTTTGTAAGCTAAACTATGAGTTACAATTTATTTCTGATGGTGGATATAGCTGGATTCAAACTACGGACTTACTGTCTGTTTGTCTGTCTGTTTTCGACATAGAACTTTGCACAAATGTGCGGAAGTTCAAGTCGCCACACTCCGTGTAGCACGCGAAGCAAGAGAAGAAAGTACAAGAAAAGCATAATAGAGACAGTGAGCAGAGGTGTGAGACAAAGGAATAGTAGTAACGAAGAACAAAACAGTTTCATTGGAGATCATAAGTCACAAGGAGTGGATGCATCTGCGCCGGCCATTGAGAACGATTTTGAGCCATGTCACCAATTGTTTCCAACCATAGACTTTTACCGTCCCGAGGACCCCAGCCTGGAAGTCTACACCTTCCTACGTGGCTTAGACCAACTGTTGTGGATTTCATTGACTGGTGCCAAGTTTTCGTTTGACCGCCGCTAGCTTTTTTCCAGCCTGACCCTATATCCGCTAACATTGCTCGTCGAGGGAGGCGATGACTTGGCATACGTAACACATGTCCTAACCATCTCAGTCTTTGTAACTTCACGACTTCATCGATTGATTTCCCCTGGTTACCTAGAACTCGACGCCTAACTTCAATATTGCTCACCTTATTATGCCACTTTACACGGGAAATAGAGCGCAGGCACCTATGATCAAAGACAGCTAGTCTTTTCATGTCTTCCACGGACTTACTATATTAAAGCCAAATAATGGAGATAACAAGTTACACACATACTTCTTATAGTCTTCAAGAACTTGGAAAGCTACAATAATCATCATCCAATTACCCAACAACAATATAATGATGCCACATGTCAAGTGATTTACAGCGGAAAACTCAGTAAAGCCTCTAAGTGAAGGCAGAAGTAAAACAAAGGTGCTTATTATCACCGATGCTATTCTTGTTTGTGATCGACTGGATTATGCTACAGGCTTATAAGAAGTGAGAAGATAGGAATACATTGTGCCGACAAGAAGACTCTAGAAAACCGGGATCTAACGGATGATTCATGTTTAATGCCAAGAAAACTCAAAGAACTACAAGTGAAAATCAACAAATTGGTAGAAGAAGTAGCAAAGACAAAACTTCAACTGAACACAAGGAATGCAGAGGTGACGAAGATAGCCAACCAACAACACACACCAATCATTATCAACTGGAGAAATCTAAAGGTCACCTCTTTCACTTAACTAGGCATCACCGTTTCAACTACAAACGGCACAGATGAGGATATAAAAGGTAGGGTCGGAAAAGTAAGATAAACGTTTATTGCTCTAAAGTCAGTGAGGCAGCCTGCTGCATTCAGCATAAGGAACAAGATGGGTATTTTCAACGTCACCGTCGTCAGTTCTTCTATATGGTTCAGAAACTTGGTGAGTCACGAGAAACACTTATAAAAAGCTTCAGACTTTCATCAATAGTTGCCTTCATTGATTAGATAGTGAAGACCGTATAGCTCTCTGGAAAGGTGTAGCGACAAGGAACTCTGGAAACGAACCAGCTGAGGACCTATTGCCCAACACATAATCCGAAGAAAACGGAGATATACTGGACACGCTGAGGAGATTATTGAATAGTACTGCGCGCCAGGACCTCGAGTTGAACCCGAATGAGAAACAGAGAATCGGTCGTCCAAGAATGACATGGCAGAGATCATGTGGGAAGATGGGAGCTTAAGGGCAATCGTGGAGTTAGGCAAAAAGGACTGTAAGAAACAGGGTGAAACTGAGACGCACTGTTGAAGCCGGAAGTTACACTCGGAACTTGAGGGAATAATTATAAATTTTTTCCGTGACATTCATGAAATGCCATGAAATTTCTAACCGTGAAGTAGATGGCTATATTCGCAATGTGGCTAAAAACTTACGACAGCCAAATGAATTTATCCCGTATTATCACTTTCGTGAGTCCAAACATTTCATTCACCTTTGCCACTTTGTCCATATTTCCTCTATTCATTATTTTATTATCAAACTGCACTTTTTTATGTAGCATTTCAAAGAATGTCATCCTAAGATTTTGTCTTTTTGTATTTACTACAATAGTTTCAATGTTTTCACTGGGAATCTTACAATTAAACTCAAAAGTTCTACAGAAGGGCTAATCTTGATTAGAAGTTATTTTTCGCTTTTATAGTAAATAACATGAAGAGTCAGTAAAAGCTGATGCGACAATTATTTTCACAAACACTTTAGTGATCACGCTTCTTTTCGCTTTTCATCCGTTACTTAACTCCAGTTGAGGTATCGTACGACAAAATTGTTCTTCTACAACACAGAAGAACCTGTTTGATATCTTTCAACCTTCAACAACAAGTTACTATAAATATCCTGTGCCTTAGAGAGAATGAATTTATGAGGTTGTGAAGCTGTATTCAGAGAGATGGCTAGGATGCATTCTACGTAAACCAATACACTGCCTTCCTCGCCGACTAATGTTATCTAATAAAGGAACGGATTGGAAGTCTTAGAGGTTGAGATTATATCAGCCCATGAAGACTTTGAATATATGACTGAGCCAAGTAGGGTGGCAAAGACCCTTGAAACGTTAAGAACTAATGATTTTAGACTATTGGTAACACGGCTAAAAATCACTTATTATAGTTTCATACATTTATTCCCCTTAATGAATTTGAACAAAGCAAGAACTACAGTTTTAGCAGAATAATGTGGTACCATCATTTATTTCGTTGGCTTCTCATCAGCTGCTTACAGCCTAAATAACTTATGAGGTTTAAGTACAGACATGTTTCAACATACTTGCAAATTTTACATGTTGTCAGTTGACAGAAAATTCCACAATTTGTAAACAGTGCTCAGAAGTTTGCGCTTATATAGTTTTCACACAGGCAGTTCAGGTTAAAACAAAATAAATGTATGCAGAAAATGGTAAGAGAGTTACGCAATAAAGATGAGATATGCGTTAGATGCATAGTGACTAGTAAGTTAGGTAACAATGAACTGAGTTGAGCTCTAATCATAGAAACAAGAGACAAACAAAATTACAGATTATAGAAAGGGAGGGTGAGAATAGAGGCAAAGATTACGTAATCAGATGAGAGAAAAAAAGCATCCAGTTACCAAGGCAAGGAAAGACTAATAACTGCTTCTTTCTGAACACATAGATCAGGTTTCATGCGTTTGATAGAAATCGCTTCAGCAAACTTAAGGAGAATTGAGCTCATTTGCCTATTGATAATTTTGAACGACTTTTCGACGTCCACCTCATGACCCGTATATGGTCACAAGAATTGTTTTTGTTTGATTTCATAATCTTCAATTGAAAATATTGGTTAATATATTCCTTATTGATTAACTCATTCTTGTTTCATGAAATCTTTATCAGGTTTCCATTAAATGACGTCCGAACACTTAGGGGTTGTTGACGCGCTTCCATACTTCGATAAAGGATATGATGATCCTGGAATAAGAGAAGCTGCAGCTCTTCTAGTCGAAGAGGAGATGAAACGATACAGGCCGACAAAAAACTATTTGGAACATCTTCCCTCTTTATCGGGACCGATTCAAATGAAGTTCGAAACTGAGGTGATGAAAGCTGAGTTTGACAGGCTCTCCAACCGTCTACCAATGGAAATGTTAAGTATGAAACGTTACGAGTTGCCGCCGCCCCCTGCTGGAAAAATGACCGACGTGAAAGCTTGGCAAGACGCAATGGAGAATGCTGAAGTAATGTATTTTATATTGTTAAGTGACTCTTCGAATAGGCACAGTTAGAACATCAAGCAACAAGAATTGAAAATCTCGAATTAATGGCCGAATATGGATGCAATGCTTGGAAACAGTACAACAATGTTTTAGAAAACTCTCTGCAAATTTACGAGAAAGAGCTCTTGGAAATAAGGTGACTTATTATTTACATATAATGAATGTGGTAATCTAAGCTTTTGTATTGTAATGCATTTACTGAAAGATGTTAAACATTCTACGGAAATTATTAATTTATAAATAATTGAGAAAATGAGTGACATATTCGCCAAAACTGTTTAACATGTGAAAAAAATCCAGTCTTTACTGATAAATTTGTGAAAATGCAGCAACAGTAAGGGAGTTTACTGTTACTATTACTACCATTCAGAAAAAAAGATTTTTGTGATGTCGACGGAAATAGAGTCAGGATCCATAGGGTGTTGGATACCTTCAGTACTTTCTTCTGCACAATCAGTGGCCATCTTTACATCTTAATTCATTAAAAATAAAATTATGATTCAATATTTTACAAATCCTTCGTAATAAGTTAGATCCACTTCACATTTGCCATCATGAAAGTACTTAAAGGTGTATATTCGAATAAAAACCTAGAAAAGAAATCAAAAGGCCACTCATTTATTATGCATGACAATTTTAGTCATCTGATATTAAAGCAAGATGCACTTAAGCGTCATGATCCTACTAATTCATTAAAAACCTACGTTCAAACATGAGAAACAAACTTTTATGATTTATAACACAAATGATATAAATGGGAAGATAATGCAGCGGGAGTCAATCAATCATGTGAACTACTCAAAATAAATACCATAAACCAGACAAGTAACAGACCTAGGTCTATCAGCGCAGAACGTCGTACCATATACCTAGCCAGTCCAACTTCCCTTAGCAGCTTTCTGTTCGAAGTCTCAATTTTGGAAGTTAATTAAGTATTATCTCATTGAAGGGTCATTCCACTTAGAATACCTTTTCCAAAGCTGATCAACTAGATGAACTGAAGTGGTTGACTACTACCGGTTAACGATGTCCATCCCATTTCCTTAGCTTCTCTTACCCACTAATTCTTACCTAAAAGCTTACGTCAACTTAAGTTTCCGTTATGCGTTTTCGGGCCAGATGTTTAGTAAAGTTGCCTCCAAATACAGAACACGGTACTATTTGCAAGCTGAACGCCAGGGGTGTTAAAACAAGAAAGGGAATAACAGGTAGTTCAGCAAGGAGATAATTTTAGCAAGTTCCTCATTTTTTCACTGTCAGACCAACCGCGGTCATATAGATCTACGAAGTAATGAACATTCAGAATCCACACCAGTCCTTCTTTAAATCCAGATTAGTATCAGATCAACGAACGCTATGCTGTTACAGGTCATAAAAAACTGCCCCCTAAAAACCTAGCGGTTCACACACAAAACAAGCAGATTTTTCATCTTAAAAGTAATTCAGACTTATATAACCAACAGTTTTAAATAATTGACAGACATCACAAACAGATGTGTGAGATTGTGCTGTGGGTATGCCTGTGGTGTGTTGGCTTTCCTGTTTGTTTTCCATTTCAGCTCTGTCCGTGTGACCCAGGTTCTCGCAAGGGCATCCAAGTCAACGTGCATTGATCGTGAAGGAAAAAAGGGTTGGATCCCTTTTTTGCCGGGGAGTGTCAATGGAGTTGAAGATTGAACGATCAATTCTTGGTTGTTTGCTCAAAATCAACTTCCTCGATTTTCGCGGAGGCATCAATACGACAGTCATCGTCTCATCGGTCGCTGTTCAGAAAGAAGAGTGAAACATCGTCAGAAGTATTACAGAGATTTATTATTGTAATATTTGTTTTCAGACCTTAGTTTGCTTAGTTCGCTTATTCCTTTTATATGTTGGTGTAACAATAAACAAATATCAAACTGCAGATCGGTGTTTTGGTTTTTGCGTCCGTTATAACTAAGCGTTTCTGAGATATCTTCTAAGAACAGCGTGGGCCCGAGCGTAGCGAGAGCTGGGCATTAACGGTTTATGAGACTTTGCTGACACCAACAATTATAAATAATTGACAGACATCACAAACAGATTATGCTTCATAAATTTCTCAGAATTTTATTACACCTACGTTAAAAAAAATCAAAAAACTGAACTCAGAGCTCACAGTATAGGTGAACTACAAAGTTATCGTGAACACGTAAATATATGCATTGTCTGTTGCGACCGAAAAGCATTCTGTTCAGACTGGTGTTCTATATGCAACACTTCAGGCATCTTGGAAATAAGCCCGACCCACAAAAATCTGTGACACCAAAATTAGCAATTTTGAAGAAGGTTTGTCCAAAACCTTGTTGGAATGCTGAGGAATGAAAAGTCTCTGATGAAGTGGAACAATGAAATGTTAGAAACGAGTCTACTGAACGATTACAAACTAGGACCCTGTACTTACTTCGAGACTAAGCCCGTCCAAAAACTCAGACTCAACCTTGGTAACCTGCACTAATGCAAAACTGATGAACACACTTGACGAATTCGAAAGGCGAATATTAAATCATAGGCACTTATCATGAAGACTCACCATAACAAATTCGCATTCAAATATTAGTTTCACTAAGAAACCAGAATTCTCACCGTCAACAACTCCAGTGCTTCGATCGGATAAAAATATCATCGCATTCATTTTAAGGGGTAATAATCAGAGTCACATAACCTATCATCTTACAAATGAATAAGCATCTACAGATGGAATCCAGAAGCAAAGAGTGTGAAACTTTGGTTTGCATCCAGATTCTTAAAGACAAACAGGACCAGGGCTGTGACGGTAACTAGTCCGTCCGAAAATTCACTTTACTCATCAGTCTGTCACTCACTGAAGCTGTTAGTTGATGCTTATGATAACATCAGAGTTAGGGTCAAGCTGAGAAATTGTTGGGGTTAAGTTGTAGGAATATTAGGATTGTTTGAGGCTGGATTGTGGTAAATTAAGGAAAGATGTGAGCCACAGTTAGATGAGAAAGGCGTAGACGCCGGACTAAGGTTATTCAGTGATATATTCTGGTTAGGGTTGAATAAAAGACCTAAATTAACCCTCTGATTTCGGCTGTTACTTTCAAGGTCTCTGGTGCGTCCGTCCCTTTGGAACACTATCCATCAACTTTGCCACGATATAACAATATTTTTCTATCCAATATCGAAAATACTTGCAATCTGAATGTAGTGGACCACTTATCGAATGATGCCAAGCAATGAACCTTGAGTCTTCGCGCCTAAGTCAACTTGTTACGTACTCCACAAACTTTTCTCGTTGCTATAGTCTTTCGCTCTGCTCGCAGGATTGTTCCCCCCTTTGTGGTTTAGTGTGGGCTGTTGGGCAGTGTGTTCGCTTTCCTGTTTTTCAGGTGAAGCTGCCTCCGAGCTTCAGTTGTCACAATTTGTCCGATGAGGTCAGTTTCAGTCCGTTCGTTGTATAACATGTATATATAAGCGAATGCAAGTGTTTAATCAATTAAATTTAACTAATTAAGCACTTGCGTTCACTATGTCTATTCTTTATAAGTTACCGCAATAATATAAGAGGATGAACGCCCATTATTGTCTGTCTTTTATCCCTCTTAGCGAATCTAAGCGCGGAAGGAAATCTATCATGGGTCTTCTAGACCTAACAAACATCATTGATTCCTCACCAGAAAGTGCCGACTCGGGTGGAACTCTCAGAAGGTCCTTGAGATTACGCCGCAAATCCATATCTGCAGCGTCCCATGGTGAACAAACACACCCATCTAAAAGATATAGTCGAAAGTCAGTGATTAATCCGCAAACTCATGTAAGTGCGTCTGCTACGTTGAGTAAGTCGCCTATGTTTATTTTTTTCATTCCTTCACAGTCCCAGTGGAACATAGGGCCTCAAGCTTGAGGCTTGAAGTTTCTGTAGCAGCGTTTACTTTTACAGGATGGGGTCCCCAGCAGAATGGCAAGGGTTTAATACTAAACACATGTTCAACGTCAAATTACTTTGGGTGTGCAAGAATGAAAATAAGTCAGCACACCAATATAAGACGACAGCACGTGGGAATACTGAAGACTTTGAATGGAAATTACATACAAGTCTTAGATGTTTAATTTTTAAGCTCTTGTTGAAGATAAATGCCTGGAAAGGAAGATAAAGTACGAAATTGCCACTGACACGATCCATATCAAGAATCAGCTTTTCTGCAACCAATGGTACAGACGACTTTAACTTCACAGGCATTTACGTCAAGCCTTCTTATGCTTCGTCTTGCTTACAAATATGTCGTTAATTGCATTTTGAACGCTCCAGTGTCCATGGAGCTCTCCCTTACACAGAATGCATACTTCTAACAGTTTAGAGCTACTATCGTGTGTGACACCATTCAAAAAGTCATAAGATATTCCCTCAGAGAAAATCTCTGATGATTCCTGGATCTGAAATCTTATTTTCCCTACTCAATAAATCATGCATGCGCATAAGTCAAGGGGGTTCAAGGTGTCACACTTACTCTTACCTAATGCACCACATTGCTCCCTCACTTGCATTAACCGCCAGACCAATATCCAATGCCCAAAATCGATCTTTACGAGCTATTGTAAGCCAATTTGACTTCTTTGTGTTCGCTTTTTGGTCATGTCATAAAATGGATCACCATGTTATCATTTTAACGTATGCACTGTCTTTGATTGCATAGATGAATTACATGTCTGTTAATTTACGTATATCAGTTCTGATATATATAGATATCCGATTTCAAATAGTTATTCCATTCGTTAACCGTCGCTAGCTTTCGCGAAATCGCTCACTTCTGTCCACTTTGAGTACCCAGTCGCCTTGTGTGAGAACCAAGCATTTTGATTTAGTTGTCATTGATATAAATAGCCCCTTTCTCCTCATCTCTCCTTGTTCATCAGTCGTACAAATCTATAGTGCACATTTAAGTTGGTTTTCCGTTAGTCTGTGTGACGGTTCGAGCACATGCCCATTTGAAGTTCATTGTCTTGCTCTAAGATATGCTCGGCGTGCACCTCTTGTAGATTGAATTTTGTTGATGTATCATATTGTATTTCAAAAGCCACTATTTTCGTCGTCTTGGTTCTCGAATTAATAGGACGTACAAACTGAATAGCTATTAGCTAGGTACATCAGAGTATGCTTTACATTGCTAGTATCTTCAACTATGTGTAATATATGGTACTAATCCACACTTAAATTAATATTCTTTTTTTGTAGACGAATGCAGTTTATGACGCATCGTGCAATTCTTCTCATTCGCCTGCCCAGAATGAAAATAATATACCAATTACGGATATTTCTGCACAGTCATGCTTTACTGCGTCACCTGATAAGATATCTGTCTTATCGCAAGATAAATTGGAAAATGTCAGACCTCAAAGTCCTCTGC